CAATTCTACGTATACTCCCAATTAATATTAATAATTATATAAAACAGTTAATGTAACAAGTTAACATAATTATATAAAACATAAACTGAATAACATTTAATTATATAAAGAGATATTACCCAAAATGGGACTAAAAAAGTTTGAAAATTCCAAAATAGGACTTCCATGTTTTTATTCCCAAAATAGGACTAATTACTGCCATGTTTTGGCAGTACCAGACTTCAAACATGACAGTATTTTCCAAATTTGGCAGTAATTAGTCCTATTTTGGGAATAAAAACATGACAGTCCTATTTTGGAATTTTTGAACCTTTTTAGTCCCATTTCGGGAACTTTCCCTTATATAAAATAAATTATATTTAATAATATAATTATATAAAACAGTTAACATATGAATAACATTTGGCAAGAATTTCAAAGATAAACTCCAGAACATATAATATAACAAAATAACATACGAATATCAATTTTGACACAACAAGTTCAATAGGAGGAATTGTCCCAAAAGACCCCATAAAAAGCAGTCCCAAAAAATTAAAATTGGACGAAAAGACAGAATAGAGAATAGACGAAGCGGACGAAAACAGAGAACAAAGAAGAGACAAAGCGGACGAAAAACAGAGAACAAAGAAGAGATGAAGAAAACAAAGCAGGGAAGATTGATTCAAAGCGCAAAAGCAGGGAAGATTAACGTAGCAGCAGGTGTCGCTTGGGTTTCGTTCATCCTAAGTCACGATGGGTTCTGCGACTTCTTCCCTTTTTTTGAGCTTCAAAGAATCGTACGAGTTACAATTTTACTCGACGATCCGCCGATCCCAGGTCAATTTCCGATCTTTGGAGCGATCTGACGCGATTCCCCCTATTTAGTTCGCAAACTCGTTCAATCTTACGAGTTACCTCACGATCCTAACAACCTTGGGTATAAGGAAGGATATACAGAAATTTGTGGAGGAATGTGCCATACCAACAAGTATCAAGCTTTGAAGCCAGCTGAATTACTACAACCTTTTCCCATCCCTCAGAGCATATGGACTGACATAAGCATGGATTTTATTGGAGGTTTACCGAAATCACAGGGCAAAGACACCATCATGGTCATTGTGGATAGACTGACCAAATATGCCCATTTTCTGGCCCTTTCCCACCCATTTAATGCCAAGGAAGTGGCTGACATCTTCATCAAGGAAATTGTAAGGTTGCATGGATTTCCTAAGACAATAGTAAGTGATAGAGACATCATTTTCTTGAGCAGATTTTGGTCTGAACTCTTCAAAATGGCTGGAACTCAACTCAAGTATAGCACTGCTTACCATCCTCAGACTGATGGTCAGACTGAGGTGGTTAACAGGTTCCTCAAGACTTATCTAAGGTGTTTGATAGGAAGAAAACCTAGACAATGGGTACAGTGGTTGGCTTGGGTTGAGTTTTGGTATAACACCAATTACCACACCTCACTAAAGATGACACCTTACAAAGCACTCTATGGACAGGACCCACCTGATGTGATCAGAGGGGATGTAACTATGACAGCTGTGGAAGAAGTATCCCAATTGACTGCTAAGAGGAATGAAATGATAAGGGAATTGAAGGACAATTTGGAGAAGGCCCAAAATCAAATGAAGTAACAGACTGACAAACACAGGAGAAAAGTGTTGTTGGAGATTGGTGACATGGTTTATCTGAAAATTCAGCCTTACAAGCACATGAGAGAAGTGTTGTTGGAGATTGGTGACATGGTTTATCTGAAAATTCAGCCTTACAAGCTTAGAACTATAGCCAAGAGGCTAATTCAGAAACTCAGTCCCAGATACTATGGCCCATTTGAGGTGATTGAGAAGATAAGCTCAGTAGTTCTTAAAGTCAAGTTACCAGAAGAAAGCATAGTTCATCTAGTCTTTCACATTTCACTACTGAAGAAAGCCATCACACCTACAACTGTATACCAACCCTTACCCAAGTGCTTGAATGAAGAATGAGAATTGCAGGTGTTAAAGAGTCTTGTATGCTGTTAAAGTATTTGTCCCACACCGGAAAGCTATAACACAATTAAACACTATATAAGGCTTTGAGCTACTCCTCCTATTAGGTTGACCTTTTAGATGGAACCCGAGTCTTAACATGGTATCAGAGCCAATTCCGGTTATGGTTTGACTGCTTGTTAGCACCCATGATTACGGGTAGCTTGTTAAGGGTCTGTTTGGCCCATTTATACACCCCGATATTGTCCTGCCCGGTTCGGGCTGAGGGGACGTCTTAGTTTTAAAAGGCGCGAGGCGGCATGAGGCGATTCATCGATTTACCCGAGGCGTGAGGCGCAAGGCGATGAGGCGCACGCCTCACTGAACTAAACCACATATCTTTGGTAAAATATATTTATACAACTTCTACATGAAGCACTTTTCTAAAACATACTTCTATTAATAGTAAATATATTTACAATAAACTGTTAATACTTATTACTAATCCTAAGCCATTAATAGTAAATTTTAAAATAAACTTGTATATAAAGATTATTAATAACAACAAGCTGTCATATATAATTGACTAATTGTTATATAATAAACTTATAAAATATCAAGAGTATAAAGTTAAACAATCAGATTCACAGATTGAGAAACCATATTTATTATTTTAGGGAAGGTTGTTCTTTTTAATAAGCTTAGGGAAGATTGTTATATGGTTATATATTTACATAATTTGAATTATTTTTTTATTTAACAAATAAAAATATAAAGAATAGAAAAACAAGAGGAAGAAATACAAACAGAACAGAAGAAAGAAACGTACCCAGCCGAACAAAAAAAACAAGAGAACGGAAGAAAAAGAAAAAAAAACGGCAATGATCTGCGACAGAAAGAGCGGAAGGTTTGAGACTTTGAGTTGATGGAGTGAAGTTTAGGCAAGCAGGATGAATCGCCAAAGGCTTGAAGGAAGGTCAGCGGACATATTCTCCATAAGGCATGAAAGGTGACGCCTCAAAGAGGCGCAAAAAGCGGCACTAGGCGAGGTAAAGGCGCGCCTTATGGAATCTGCTGCGCCTGGGATGTTTGGATGCGATGAAGTCATCGCCCAGAGGCGCCTCGCGCCTTTGCGCGCCTCAGGCGCGCTTTTTTAAACCAAGGGGGACGTGTTAAAGTATTTGTCCCACACCGGAAAGCTATAACACAATTAAACACTATATAAAGCTTTGAGCTGCTCCTCCTATTAGGTTGATCTTTTAGGATGAAACCGAGTCTTAACAGATGTCAGAAGAAATAAGGAAGGGAAGATGGAGATGTTAATGCATTGGAAAGACCTACCACAGTTTGAAGATTCATGGGAGTCCCTTCAAGCGATAACAGAGCAATTTCCTTGGGGACAAGGTGAATTTTCGCGGGGGGGGGGGGGGGGGGGGGGGGGGGTATTGATAGGGATAAAGGACCTATTCAGTATTTTAACAAAGTTTACAAGAGGAGAAATAAGGAGTTTATTAATAGGTATCAAGGCAGTAGCCTTTGTAATCCCTGTGTGGATATTTACTATAAATAGAAGCGGGGAATAGCTAAATAAGGTAGGCTGTTATTTTATTTGGGTGTTGCCTTGGAGAGTGGGCTTCTCTAATAGTCGCGGTTACCTTGTTGCCTAAGTCGAGACATTTCCTATCAATAAATATCATTTTCCCTCTTTGTTTATCAGATTTGTGTTGCTTGTTCATTACTTATGCCAGGATTATTGCCAGGTTTTTATCACTCCTTTTATGGGCCATAATTACCAGTGGAAACCGGCTACCCCTTACTCCTCAGATGTAGGGGGTCGGCCAAACGTGGCTGACTAGCGACTCATGTCTAATATTTTCTATCCTAATCAAGGTTGTTAAACTCGAGATCCTAGCACGGATCGGACGGGGTCTAGGAGATCGTAACTCGGGGATCGTAACTCGGATCGTAAGATCCTACCATGCAATATATATATATATATATATATATATATATATATAGACATATATACAATTCAATTCTATGTAAACACTGAATTTATATTATTATTAAAATTAATAATTACTACGTAATTAATAAAAATATAATGTCAAGACTGAAAGCAATAACATAAAACACTTGGAACATAAATACGGAGTATAAAATACTAGTACAAAACATTTGAAGGGACTATTTTCAGAAGAGATAACCCACTTGAAATGAGCCCATGACTTATTATTGCTGTCAGAACTCAGAACAACCTAAAGACAAACCTACTAAAGAAGCGAACGATTTTTAAAAAGAAAACGGATGAAGGGAACGACACAGAGAACAAAGCGAGAACAGAGAAGGGATGAAGAAAACGACGAGGAACAGTGATTTGAAGTTGACGAAGCAGTGGAGCTTAACGTCGCAGGTGGCTCTTGGGCTTCCTTCATCGTAAGGCGTCAATGTTTTTTTTTTAAATTAGTCATTCCAGACTCAGTCCCTCATTCCGCCCTTTGTTTCTCGTTTTTGGAGCTGAGAAATCGCACCTCGATTAGATCGACGATTTATACGAGTTACATGTTTACTCGTCGGTCCGGCGATCCCAGGCTATTTTCCGATCCCAGCAGCGATCCAACTCGACCTTGCCTTTTCTAATCGTAAGATCGTACGATTCAGCGAGTTAGATCGCGATCTTAACAACCTTGATCCTAATGCGTGTTTCCTTGCTCTAGTTTAGTCCAGTTTTTAGTTACAAAGATGTATTATCTTTATGACTATGATTCCTTTTATTACTAGGACTCTTCTAATAGCTATATAAGGGTCATTAGTTGGAATAATATAATGATTTCGGGGGATTAGTTTTTTGTGGCTCAGACAAGGTTGGGCATCACCTCTCTGGCAAAGGTGTGAGGCATGATTAATCCACCATCACCATAGCTCTGTCTTCTTCAAAATTCTTATCCTTCTTCAGACGTCTTCTAGGAGACCTTGGACGAGATGTTGTATGTGCACTGTTAACATATTTATATTCAACTTCTGAGATGTTTTCAGTGACAGTTAAACAGGTGGTATAATAAAGATGATGTCATTGCTGAATGGATAGAAGTGAAAGGAAATATGTGCCTTTATGTCCATTGCTTCGTGAGTGGACCAAATCTCTTACAAGAGTTGGCTGCAGAGTTTAGATACCTTATATTCTCGAAGGAGTTGCCATTGGTAAGTATATCAAACACATCAAGTTCTAGAAGTGTAACTAGTAAAGTGAAAGCCACTAATAAGTTTGTTAATTGAGCCACTTTTTACCGCATGAGATCTGTATATTACATTATTCATCAATTGCCATAATTGAAACATGAAACAGTAACAAATATCTTGTGGTACTTTTTTATGGTGTTCGACTGCTTCTAATATTAATTGCTAATTTTCCATTACTGTGATTGATAGAGAGCTTTAGCATATGCTTTTCTGTAGTGACTACAAATTTTGAATGTAGTTCTGCTAGAAGGTTGTCATGCACTAGAAATCGCTAGTGGCATTTGACTTTTATATGGTCTATGCTGGAAGGACCGTATAAAGGGCTTGTCAAAATTGAAATTAGTTGCTTTAGTATTGGCTGGATGCATTTCTTGCATTAGAAATTGTCACAGATTTCAAAGAGAAAATGGTTGCTAAATAATGTGCCACCAGATCAGGTCGCCGTAAAGCCATCTCATATATACTTTTATGCATGATAACAAAGATGAATTCAAAGTTTGATAACCATGCATGTAAACGAGGTTCTCACTGATGCTAGAAGAAAGATCCATTCTATTAATGCTACACAGACATGTCAGGAGAATTATGCTTTTGAAAAAAATTACAGACAAGCCAACATTCTGTTTTATCATGCTAAGTGCAGTCACTTACTGTAATTATTCTATATCCCAGAAATGAATGATTTCACTTCGTTGATCAGGTACTTAGGGCCGTCTTATATGGTGATTCAGCTCTGTTCAAAGAGCATCCACAACTAACAGATGCTTCAGTTCAAGTCTTCTTCCATTCTAGTTCAAAGAAATACAATCATGTTGAATGCTGGGGCGCGCTCAAGGATGCCGTGAAGGTAGTTTTGTTCATTTAAAAATCATGCTATGCATTCTGTGCATAACCACAAACACATCTATTTTCATTACCAAACCTTTATTTTACAAATTAAATATGTTGAATACTTGGTATCATCCCATGGTATTCAGGTAACTCACTACATTATGCTGAATCATCTCCAGGGAAGACCAAGAGATTACATAAATGTACTGTGATCATCAGCTAGAAGGAAAGCAACATTCTCGACCAAGTAATATTTGGGGAAGCACCAAGTCCATCTCCCTAAGCAGTGGGAACCTCTCCTTTAACAATGGTGTGTAGAACCTTTGGCCTGAAGAATCCTGCAGACCCAGAAGCTAATGGCCAGGTCAAACTCTCATTGATCCTCGGGGGGGGGGGGGGGGGGGGGGGGTTGAACTAGTTACCTCGGTGATCTTTTTGTTGGAAGGTTAAGGAGTGACAACTTTCCTCCTATAATTTGTACATTAATAGGCTTTTACATAATGTACAATGGCAGTTCAACCCTTATTATTCATTTGGTTCTCTACTTCTCTGGTATGCACTAGGAGTTGCATTTGTATCATTCAGGTGGTCAGCTTAACAAATGTTCAAACCTGTGGTTGCAGATAACCAGATAGTAAAAAATAACTTAAATGACCACAGTGAACCTTGGAACTTGGAAGTTCTTTTTGCAGTATGCTTGAATAAAAAGTGAAGCACCTTCAGGCTGTTCAATCTTATTTTTGGCAGAATGAGCTATAACAAGCTAACTCTAAACTCAATTAGGTAATTGTAAGTTCTTTTAAACCATTCTAAATGAAGATTGGCCATTTGAGACATTATAGGCCGTTTCATGAGATACTTGTTGGCTCTTCCGTGAGATTTGATGAAGAAATGAAAAGATCTTTATCTTAAATAACCGAATCTGAAGTCATATAGTCCGTACATAAAATTTTAAGTAGATTTCGAAGAAAATAGGTATTTTGACAATTGACAGTTAAGCAAAATATCGTCAAATGACCTCAAGGTCCTCAACAAGCTTATTCTAAACGCTAAAAGTCGCTAAAAGTCATTCAGGACATGGGCATTTTGGTTGGTTGCAAAACTGGAAATGTGATGTTTTGACACCATATGATGTGTCTAACAATATTATAATTGTGAATGAGTGTTAGTACACTTAATTTGTGTCAACACATTTTATGCGGTTCGTATATGCTACACCCGGATGTATGTACATCATGTCCAATTAAATTAGAAGTCCACTAACAGATACAATCCATAACAAAACTGGCCCAAAATTTTACCGGGTAACACTAATAACTGAAACAAGGATTGCGAACAAATCAATACAAAAACGGAAAAGTAAATTCTACTCTAAAAAACGGAAAACGACGCTGGCATTCATAGACGCTGTATTTAAGCTCGAAAAACGAGGACAAACTCCAGACGTTTGTCAACTTTGTGGAATTATTGCGGGGGTTATTGGTAGAGTTGGAGAGCAACAACAAGTTGAAGAACGGAGGAAGAGTTCGAGCAGCAAGGTGTTTGTGTTTGAGCATCGAAGCAAGCGATGGACTTACTATTCGAGTATCAAATGATGTTAAACGCAGATAAGCATGAAACAAGGAATGCCAGCAGTAAGACGAAGGAGAGATAAAGAAGGAAAAGAATGATAAATACCCAAAGCTGTGGACAAGAATGTCTCCGAGTAGTATAACTGAAATAATGAAAACTCTAAGTCCAGAACAGAAGCAAGAGGTAGTTGAGATGGGATTTGGCCCCTTACTGCACCTTGAAGTCAAGTAATTGCCAATGCAGTTGGCATATTGGGTAGTCGAGAGTTTTGATGGCAGAAGTGTGTCTCTTGTTCCGCAGAACAATGAGAGATTAAGGATAAATGAAGATGCAGTGCGCTTCACATTGGGGTTTCCAAAAGGAAACATTAATGTGAAGGATTTGATTGATAGTGAAGCTGAGAATACATCACACATGGTGGCTGATTGGAGATCACAATTTGAGAGTGAAAATGGAGTTGTGAAGACTGCTCAAGATTTTTGGTTCTCTTGGTAACATGTTTGATTGAAGGGAAGCAAATTTGCTTTACAAATCAAATCATTCTGAAGGCATTGGAGGATGATTCAATAATCAAGAATCTTAATTGGTGTGGATACGCATTAGAGACATTAATTGAAGCAAAGGACTATTGGAGCAAAAGCAGAGAAAGACAGTTCCCGGGGCCTTTATTGATTCTGATTGTAAGTTACAAATTCTATAATGTTATTGCTCAATTGTATCATATTATTAATCAAATAATTATATGCAGCACACCATTGTAACATATTATAAAATATGTAGGTGTTCTACGTTGACAACGTTGTGTTCAAAGGCAGAAAAGTGTAAAGAGGATTGACATCTATTATTGGGTGGACAACACAAAAGCTGAACAAAAGACATAAAGAAGAAATTGAAACCGGAGTTTTCGGATACGGATATGTAGATGAACCTAACAAAGGGGAACCGACAGTTCCAAAACTGATCACAAATGAACAAGAAGTTGCAAGGCAGATTGAAAGAAACAACAATCAGGAGCCAAAGAAGGTAAGCACAGTAGTATGTAATTTTAAGAGAGAAATTTGGGTAAATATATAAATGAGAATTAGGATTTCTAGAAATGAGTATTTAATACTACGTACAAAACAATGAGTACATGCAGGAACTTAAAGAAAAAGAAAGATAAAAATGTTACAAAACTATGGATAAAAATTTTAATGACTGAATAAATAAATAAATGTAATAAACGTATATGCTTAGTTCATTTTGTAATAAGAGTCTAAAGTATGTCACATGAAATTATTTTAGTCTAAACTCAATAATAAAATAAATAATGCTCAATTACTGTTCTAACATTAATCATTAAATAAATACAAGACATTATGAAGGAATTTGTTGCAGCCACGAAGAATTTGGCAGAAAGCATGGCCAGTTTTGATGAAAAGTTTCAAGAGGCTGCAAAGGTGTTACCTAATGATGAGACGATGAAGGTTTTAATGGGAAAAGTCCATGGGCTTTTCAACACACATCCTCAGAAAAGGATAAAGAAAAAGAAATTGAAACTGAGGTGTCATTGGCTCCGGATGATGGATTCTGGACAGAAGAAGTGCTCAAAGTAGTTGAAGCTATTGAAATGACTCAGAAGAAAAGAGTTGAGAGGCCAGCTTTTACACAGTATGAAAAGCCAAGCTTCAAGTTGCTTTCATAGGAGTCAAATGACATGGTGAATACTTATAAGGATGATGATGAGCATACTAATGAAGTATTTGAGTAGGCAGGCAATGGTATTGAGCATGCAGAGGATGGTGGCGGTGAGCAAATGAATAAGGATAATGAAAATGTTGAGGATGTTAATGAGGATGAAGAGGAACCTGAAAAGGAAGAATGTGAAGAAGAAAGAGACAAAATGTCTAGAAAGGGTAAGGAAGTTGCACAAGATCACATTGACCCAAAAGAGAACAAAGTGGAAAGAGAAAAAAGAGAAACAGCCCCAACACATGCTCTGAAGTCCCCATACATGAATAGAGTCATAGATGCAAAGACAACATTTGGCAGTGAAGAAAGACTACTTGCAGGTTTTGTGTTCAATGATCATTGTGACAAGAAGTAAGTACACAACAATTTTTACTTAATCATTTCGTTTAATAGTAATGCACATTTAATATGTAAGTTTACTCATATTGATCTAGTAATGCTTTTGAAACAGTGTTGTGGTGTTCAAGAATCACAACTTAACTCTTTGGAATGCTCAGATGGAAATAATGAGGAGCAACACAAAAGTTGATGCTGAAGTGATAGATATATGGGCAATGTTGTTTAACCATAATGAAAAGTTCAAAAGCCCTGAAGCTAAAAGCAGACTGATTTTCTCAACAAAATCATGTACAAGAAGTACATATTTATTTAATTAGTATTACTCAAATGAAACTAATATACTATAATATTTAATGGCAGCAAGTGCTAGATCAAAATCATGTGAGCGCTCCACAAACAAGGAACAAAAGGTTTGTTGCAGCTATTGGTAAGAAATTTCCCAATGCAGATGGCAATAAGTTGAGGACAACAGACCTATTCATATTCCCAGATGAACAGAATGGGTGCTACTATATGATGTGTTTTGACTTGAAGAACATGAAGTTCTACATTATTGATAGTAGCGATGGAGATATATGTCCAGGAGTGAAGTACTTGTTTCAAACGTGTTGCCTGGTAAATGTTTTATATATTTCTATTGTTTATATTACATATGGTTAAATAATGTTGTTGGTCCCTTAAATCTGTAGACTAACAAACAGCTAAATGGAGTCCATCGATAAAACAGAGAAGAAAGAGATCAGATAATGACCGGAAGAATATCGAAAAGTGAAATCCTTCTTTCTATTTGTATCGAGAACTTTTACAGAGTAATGTTGCTGAGCTGATTATTCGACCTTCGGACCTGTACAACAACGCGCATATTTATAGGCGCTCATACAGGTGCTGAAATAGAAAACCTAGGAGTTTGGGCCTAAAGCCTTTTGGGCCTTATTCCCTTACAACCTAATTATTACATGATAATTAATACTACAAAAGGTAAAACCGATGGGGTCACAGTTGACCAAGCAAAGCTCCTCATTGCTTTGAGCCTGACAGTTTTGCGTGAGTGGGCAGCCTCTTCGTAGTCCGATGGGGTGTCACAGTTATAACACCCCCAAATTTATACCTGAAATAGATGCTAATATAGCAAGTGTAGAAAGAATTTTCCAAAACATTTAGGTTCAAAATGGTTTCAACTGCAACGGAAGCAAAATATTCAATAGGTGTTGCCGCCACATTCGGCTATCTCTTAACCGAATGCACAGGCTTAACATAATCCAAAAGTATTCCAAGCACTTAAAGATTTAAAACTCAAAACAATTTAAATGTCTACATGTCTCAAAACTAAGATAAATAATAACTAGGTGATTGTAACTACTAAACTACGTGATCTAACGCAGCTCTCATCAGATCAACAAGCATAATCCTCATCACCTGCACCAAATAAAGTGCAGAAAACAAAACAAAGATAAAGAAACAAAAGTTAGCTTTTTAGCTAAGTAAAACCTACTCAATCCCGTAAAATAATATAGTTTGAAGAAAATAGATTTGGTACTTAACGTATAGGTTCAAAAGTCCATTTAGTTCTCAAAATACGACATTCATGTTTAAAATCGCATTCACCATTCAAAACAACCTTTGAGATTCAACCAAATATTTTATAAATACTTATTCATATAGATTTCATATTCCAATAAATACTTGTCCACAATTAATTCTCCAAAACTGTTTACTCTTCAATTCAAAAATATTATCCAAA